ATGATCCCACAGGGTCGAAGTTATTCCAAAGCCCTTGGTTTGAATTCTGAAGTGATGGTTGAGATGGTACTTCTGAGGTACAGCAAAGGGTAGTCTGAGTGTAACATGACACAGGTGACTGGTTGGATAAGGTTCAGAAATGAGAATGAAGAAAGAACCTTGAGATATTTTGCAGGATCTGATGATGGCTGGCCATGATGCAGGTAGTAGTGTGTGCAATCATAGATCACGTAACCCAACAGGCCACCTCCAAACAGGCCAGGTGTTGTAGACGGGGTCGAAAATAGCTTGATCATGTTCCAGAACTATATGAACAGTTCAGAAAAAAAAAGCATTAAAAATTATCGATGTCCAACTGAAAGTTAACAAAGTTAAAGGAAATTCTGATTAGCTTGAAAATGTGATGATTTTCATGTACAAACAGGGCACTTGAACCAGCTTGAGGAAAAAGGATTCGGATGCAATATTGAACAAATGTAGTAACTAGTAAGTAATCTCAACATTAGTGTTGTGGAAATCTGAAATTTGTCAACAGTAGATACCCATACCCTTGTACGTAACACATAAGGAAGATTATTTACCGGAAAGCACAAAATAGCTGCGGCAGCTGGTGGAAAGACAAGTCGAAGTCCATCCATCGGATGCTTGTGATGGCATCCATGAAGAAGATAATGCGCTGTGTTTCCCCTGCAACATATCAAATGGCAGTGATTAGCTCAACTCATATAGTTTGACTTGAGCATATTAGAAGAATATGTTACCAGTAACTTTTTGGTTTTATGTGGAACAAGAATCGTGTAGCACATATTCGATCAGTGTCCACAGAAATATTCCAAACACAATCATCATAGCTACATCTGTAATTGTACTGCCCATCTGGATAGAAGTACTCAGGCACCAACAGACAACAGGCAACCAGATAAGAGGAACTGCCCACCATTTCGTGCGGGTTAAGAACTGAACAATGAACCAATCATCAGATCACAGTATTCAGGGTTTCAAATGCTATGCAATGCAACAAATCGAATATATTCACCTCCAATATATCATTTTCAAAAAATCGTGGCCCTTCCTTGCTAACAATCGGCTGGTGAACCCACTCCTGATACTGCTCCTCTAGATGGCCAACCTAAAAAATTTCATATGCTTCCAGGCATCAAATCAGCAATAAAAAATTTTGCGTTTTGTAAGGTGTGCATAGTAGTCAGTAAGTGACCTCGTGAAAATAAAGTGATTCGCCATTCTCAGACATGTAAATAATGGCAAAATCTACATGAGAAATAGAAATAGACAACAGAAACTAATAGCCAGTAATTATTTTTAACAACCGGACTTTTGGTCATATGTACTCTAGGCAGCTGACTAGAGATTATCTATTTCATTGGAAACCATCTGTATAACGAAGTTTTGATATATAAGATGTACTGCTGGTACATCAAAAGAACATGTATGTGTGTGCGTGTATAAAGACAGGATTGGAAAATAAAGTATGCTCTTCAGTGATGTTACACTGCAAGACATTTTAATGATCAAATTTCAAATTAAATAAAACTTGAAGAAAGGTAGAGTTATGCTACCTGGAATACTAGAGGCTTGTCCAAATCCACTGTAAAGGCTGCTGCAACCATTTTCTCCGAAAAGTGATGGCTGTAATAATAAAAATTTATAGCATAAGAGTGTTGTATTCAAAATTCAAGAACTTTGAGACACAAAGGTTACAGGAAATATGTTTGAGCCCAACTGCCCAAGAACCTAGCAAATGGAAATATGCGTGAAACTAGTGAGTGGTGGGCACTATGTCCAAATATGACAATGTAACTGACCCCCCCAGTGATTCCAGACAACCATACTACTTCCACATCAATGTCATGATTTGGACCCAGAAAGCTCATAGTGTGCCCAATACTAAACTAGTTTAGTAAGGTTCTCAGGCCACTACTGCTTAAACAAATAGCATGTGGTCATAACCCCTGGCAAGTGGCATTACTATTCTATCAGGATCTGGGACCCCAAAAGGCCAGAACCATGTTCTGTGGTGCCATTTAGGCCTATATTTCAAGGTGTGCCAGAGCACCATGGATCAGGAAAACCAGACGATCTAGCACTCACAATCTGGCCTGTCCACACTGCACACAAAATATCTAGAGAAAATGCAAACAACCAGCTTCACAGACAAGAGCACATGGCACATGCTTTCTGTCATCATGTATTCTCGTGCAATTTGACTCTGTTGTCTGATCAAGTTGAGAAAGAATCCAAACATAACCACAGCTAAGAACCACCAGTAGGGCATCCCACAGGAATCCAAGAAAAAACCGTGTGCTGCCTGGGGCTTACCAAACCACTGATGGCTGACCACTTTATTAGACTGAAAATGGGACACAAGCGACCCCTGTATGGCTGTATCACAGTATCAGTTGTTCAAGCAGGTAGGATGGGCATTGGAGGCGGACGTCAGTGATGCCCAACTGAATTAATAATTGTTCAAAAAAGGTAGTGAGCCACAGAGAAAAAAGTGAAATCAAGCATCTGAAGATATTTACTGCTGTTCGGGAGGCCGTATCGTATCGTGGATTATTTACTGCTGGCTGGTTTGGTGTGAGAGAAAAACACTGTTTCCGGCTGGAAATTTACGATCGTTTACGAGCAAGCGAACAGGCATGGCATATATATAATGAATGAAGGCGCAGATGCCATGAACAAAAGTTGGCGTGTGCGTGTTGACATTCTAATAAATGACAGCAAGCACTGGACAGATCCTTCTCCGACTGTAAACCTAAACTAACATTACTCAAGCATTTAGTTGAAGAACATCAGACCTAATAACAGATTAACAGCTCAAGCACAGCCCAGATTTGTTCCTCGAAGGACGAAGCATACTGAACCAAAGTTGACGACGGGCCAGATCCAAGATTAAAGAGCTTGGGTTGCAAGAACCAGCATTGTCCAGACGATTTTAGTGTGAGAGATAACTTCACCGTCTACTAGGTCTAAATGTACCCAGAATCTCGCGCCAAGCAGCCACCGGAAAGGCTACTGTTACCGGCGGCGGTCAATGCAGCGGCCAGGACGGATCTAAACCCCCAAAATCCGGACGGATCTCGGACCACGGACACCCAGCGAGCCTCCAAGTGAACAAATTGAGGAGGAAGAGAGATCTCCAGGACGGCAACTCACCTGCGCAGCAGAAGTACAATGCCGGCGCCGTCGACGGCACCGCCCGCGGGAGGACTGAACTGAAGTGGGGTACGCGCGAAGCGAAGGGGGGAAAAGACGAGTCCGCTTCTTGTCCTCCCGCTCGCCCCGCCGCCGCCGCCGCTTCGCGTTGGGAGCTCGGAGGCGGACAGGGACTGAGATGGAGGAGCAAAAGGCGCCGGATTTGTGCAGGCGACGGCGATGGCGACGGCCACGAGTGCCACTACTTGTGTAGATTTCCTCCCTGTTTCCTGCTGGAGACAGCTCTGCTTTCCTCGGTGCTGCGACCAAACTTTTGCCACTACTTGGGCCGGCCACCCTTTTGCCACTCTCCTATAACTATAAGCAAGGGGGGGGGGGGAAAAAGGGCTATCGAATGGACCTGTGTCGTTGCAGGCAGAGTGGGTTTGGTTTCCTTTCATGTATTAGGGCCCGTTTAGGAGGAGAGCTCCTTAGTTGCTGCTGCGCTTCATGCTAGAGTAAGAGCGTCCGCAGTGGGCGGTTCTATACCGGTCCTATGTTTTATGGAGCCGGGTTCATACATTGTGTCCCTGGTTCGTTGAAAAAACTGCTCCCATGGATAGAACCCGCTCCCATCCACCGTTCTCTCTCCTGCTGCTCCGGCCCTGCCCAAACGACGACGCCCCTGCTACCAGTGTGTGTAGGAGGTCTCGATGTCAAGCTCTCGCTGTCCCCGTCGGATTTGGTGTGTGACCACCTCGCAAGGATAGGACGGGGTAGGAGATGGGAGCGCAGGGCGGTGTGGTGGAAGAGCGGCGACGGTGTCCAGGAGCGACGCCGACCGCGAGCTCCTCGTCCGACAGATCGTCGCAGTGGCAGGTAGAGTGGGGGCGGTGGATGTCGGACATGGAGGAGGCACCGTGGCTAGGCTTGTTGGAGGAGCGGAGGCGAGACCGGCATGGTGGAGGAGAAGCGAGGCCGGCCGTCGGAGAAGTTTCAGATGTGGTTGGGCTATAAATTTCCAAATGGGCCACGCGAAACGGGCTGGCACGGGCCCGGTGCGAAAAACCATGGCCCTAGCCCAGTACGGCCCGGGCTCGCCCGTGCCCGTGCCTGGCCCGGCCCGTAGCCGTGCCCGTGCCTGGGCCGAAAGGTCAGCCCGTAGTGCCGGCCCAGGCACGGGGCAGGCACGGCTCGCAGCCGTCGGATCGCGGAGGCGGGGCGTGAGCCGTTGGATCGCCAGGCGGCCAGGGGGTCCGGTATATAAGCCGCCCGATGCGGTCGTTCTCCCCACTCCCCTCACTCGTAACCCTAGCCTCTCGCCCTCTCCTCTCCGGCTCTCCCCGCTCACTCTGTCGCTCGCCCGCTCCTCGCCGCACTCGTAACCCTAGCTCCTCGCCTGCTCGCCGCACTCGTAACCTGGGCTCCTCGACGCCGTCACCATGGAGTCTTCCGACGGGTAAGGGGTCAGTTCCGGTGGCCGGTGGTTCCCTCTTCTCCCTCTCCGCCCTCAATCTCCCTCTTCTCCCTCAGATCCGATGGTTCCCGCCCTCAATCTCCATCTGTTCCCTTATTCTTCATCCCTGAATGTCGATTGAGCCTCATTCTCGACATCCTCGCCGCATCTTCGTCATCTGTCCGTCGTCCACATCGCTGGCTGCCGCCACCTCCGAGGCTTCGGTCTCCGTTGAGGTATCGGGGGTGTGCAATCGGTCCGTCTCATCGTCGTCGTTTACGGGGCTCCGGCCGTAGAGTTAAGGGTAAACCCTAACCCTAATCCCCAACCTAACCCTGCTTTTTATCTATTGATTGTGGCAGCCGTCGAGGAACCGGAGATAGCAGAGATGGCCCCAGGCGCCGGGCGACACGACGACAGGGAGTTTGACCACTGCCAGAACGACGAGCTGCGTATGTGCGGGATGGCCGGAGATGATGAGGACGATGATGTCCGCGAGGACGCTGTCGTGCTCTTCGGTCGTTCTGCTGCTGATCCTCGCCCCGTCGACGACTCCGACCCCCCAGTCGACGTGGCTGATGCCGATGGTAGTCATTTTAGATCTCTTTGAATTACTGTGCTGAGTTCATTGAGGGGTTTTGCCAGTTTAGTGCATGGGCCGGCACGGGCAAGCTGAGCCTGGAGTCGGCATGGCACGACACGGCATGTGCCTGGGCCTGGAGTCGGGCACGGTGGCACAACACAGCTCGGCACGGTTCATCAGCCGTGCCTAGCGTGCTGTGCCCAGGCGTGCCGTGCCGGGGCAGGCTAGTGCCGTGTAGTGCCGTGCCGGCACATTTGGAAAACTATAGGTTGGGCTATCTTTTTTTAATGCCGTGGGTCCACTTATAGGTCCGGTGTATGGTTCCATAGATTGCCACACTTTAACAAAGTGACATCAAATCATCGGATAGAAACAGGGTCGATCCTATACACTGCAGATGCCCTAACCGCAGGACAACAAAAAAAAATGACGACTTCATTTTGTCGAAAAAATGACGCATCCATACAAAAAAAAAGGTAATTTCACCTATCAAAAAAAAGGTGACTTCATCAGCTCCGCGTCGATTTATAGAAGGTCGATTTATAAGATGGCTTCGTGAACACTAGCACTATAATACTGTGGTTAGGAGCCAGGAGTGTGAGAAGGGCCTAAGGGTCTGTTTGTTTGAACTTTCTAGAAAGTCTTGACTTTAGCTTTTGCATCATGGAAAATCAAAAAGCTCCCGGAAGTCAAAAGTCATATAAGTTTTTGGACGTTTGGCCTATGGGAGTTGTTTGGCTTTTGAAAAATTCTAAAATCGAGAGTCTAAAAATGGCCAAAAAAGCTCATACAAGCGGGGATTAATAAGAATTAAACAGGATGAGAGGATCAGAGAACTGCAAAAGGAATCGGATTGTTCACAGTAAGGTAAGCAGCTTGTTTTGCTTTTCTTTTATTTTATTTTTTTCTTGGTTTGATGGATGGAACTGCAGAAGGTTCAGATTTGAGAGGCACCGACACGAGGATCTCAAAACTGAATGAGGCGTTTTTGGTCTCGTTTGATAGAGCTCCTACCGGCTCCAACTTCTCAGGAGCCGTTTTTATCTCTCATCTCCCCTCCTCTCACAGAACCAATGGGAGCAGGTGAAAAAAAAACTGATTTTTCCTGCTCCACCGGCTTTGTGAAAGGAGGAGAAATAAAAACGGCTTCGTCTACCAAACGGGGCCTGAGAAACGTGGAACTCAACCACTGACAGCAGGCATGATCACCAAGCTGACAGGTAGACATATGTTGTCGACTGAACGTCCATCAGCCTGTTCGTTTTGGCTGAAACGATCGTGTATTATTACTGTTAGCTGGTTTGATGTGAGAGAAAAATATTGTTCTGACTTATAATCCACGATCGTTTACGACGAAACGAACAGTCAGGCCATGTCCTCACAACCAAATCGCTGTCTGTCAGTCTCTGACCGTCTCCATGCACATGCATCTCTCTCTCTTTCAAGATCCGAGACCTCCAGACAACTCTCACCGATCTCTCTGTTTTTTATTTCCTTCAGTTCAGTGATTGGTGTGACCACGCACGTGGAAAACGTTCGTTAGCATGGTACAACCAGTTTCTTTCGTTCGTTCGCTGGCTCGCTGGCTCCATTATCCATCATTTGAGCAGGTACAGTTTAAAACTATACATGCCGAAACCTGCTTAAGGTTAGTTTGAATCCATTAGTTACTTCGCAATAGCTAGGGCATGTTTGGATTCATAGACTAACAATTGGTTTCTAAAATTTAGTCTTTAAGGATCCAAACAAAAGGATTAATGGATAGGCTAAATTTTAGCTAAAGCCCCAGCTAATTATTAGTCTCTTGTCCATATAACCAACTGTCAGGGGCTAAAATTTCACTCGATTGGAAAAAAACACCGATACCCTCTCGGCCTCTCCCCACGCGACCCTGTTCGCTCGGTTCCCCTCCCTTCCGCATCCTTCTATCGCGCCTGTGGCCGACCTCCGCCGCGGCCGTACCCTGGCTCCGCTGCGCCCGTGGCCGGCCTTCGCCGCGGCCACTCGACGAAGACTCCCTACGAAGCGAACTCCAGACCGCGCAATCCAGGAGGAGGACTACGCGTGCGCCGCGGCGCTCCGGGGACAAGCTCCGCGTGCTACGGGAAGACGACCGGTCCAAGGTGCTGGCGGCGAACGCGCGTTTCTACGCCGCGGTCAAGGACGGGGACTTCGTGGCGATGCGCCGAGCCGCGACCATGTCTACGTGGTGCACCCGTTGGCGAGGCGGATCTCCGGGTACGAGATAGTGATGCAAAGCTGGGAACTTGAAGATCCCCCACCACCGGGCTAGCAGTGCTCTTCTCCGTTTACCGACGTTGAAGATCCGGGAGAACATAGGAGAAGACGAACTTAGGGGCATAACTATCTTTGAATCGAGATAGTACTACTTATTAGACAATGGATTCAAACAGGACCGTACTAATTACTAGTCAGTTAATCACTAGTTCTAGCTAATCACTGGTCCTAGTTCATCCAAACAGGGCCTTAGCTAGCTAATAGCTCGTAGCTAATACTAGCAAGCTAACTATTAATTGCTACCAGTTGCATTGGTTTGGCCCAACTAATCAGATAGTTGTTAGTTGAATATCCTGATAACTATTAGCTAGACCCATTCTAAGGATTGTTTGGATCCATTAGCTGCTAATAGGTCACAGCTAATATTACCTACTATTAGCTAGTTTGGTCCAAATAGTAAAATAGTTTTAGTTGGGTGCTCAGCTATGAATTACCTAAACTATTGGCTACATCGAACGAGATAATTATTAGTAGCCAGCTATTATCTCCTTGCCAAATACTGCCTAAATAAGCTAACTAGTAGCTTATGGATCAAACAGAGACCAAGTGATCAAGTGATCAGTTTGGCTTTAAGGCCATGTTTAGATTGCAAAAAATTTCAACCCGATGAATAGTAGCACTTTCGTCTTATTTGATAAATATTGTCCAATCGTGGACTAACTAAGCTCAAAAGATTCATCTCGTGATTTCCAACTAAACTATGCAATTAGTTATTTTTTTTACCTATATTTAATGCTCCATGCAAACGGCTAAAAATTGATGTGATGGAGAGAGAGTGAAAAAACTTGAAATTTGGAGGTGATCTAAACAAGGCCTAAGTAAGATGTACAAAAACTAAAAATTATTCAACTCTTTGGAAAACGAGATTTGTTAAAAAAAAAGTTAGAACAGAGGGTCTCATATTCGAGGACACGGAATTTTCCCAAAAAGAAAAAGGAAAAAGTTTAAGACACGGATTCAGATCCCGGAAAGATCGTCTCATCTCTTGTGATTTTCGGAAGTGTGGTCGCCACAGGGACAAGCATCCACATCGTTCGGAAGTGTGCTATGCTCTGGTCTGCTCTGCACGAAATGGTCAGTTTCGGAGCCATGGAACGGAACAGCAGGCAGAGAGCTTCAGAATCCGGACCACACATGCACGCACCAGAGCAGACTAACCAAAACCACTTTTCTTGTGTCACTCATTCCACTTCTTATTTGGATTCAAGAAGGAATGCAATTGCATACAATTTCGCACCCTAAAGGAAATGTTCAGAAACCCCCCCAAAAAAACAACAAACCAAGAAACATGTGTACGTTTGCTCCTGTCTGATTCTGATTCTTCATTCTTGTGCGTAATAATTGAAACGAACGAACAGAACCGAACCGGAAAAAGAAGAAGAAAACAAATTCGACCCGCAAGCTCCTCCGATTCTGATCCCCCGGTCGGTTTCCGTTTCGGCCTTCCGGGGAAATGGGAATCTGAGCTGAGGTCGATCTCGACGCCTTAACTCTCTGCTGCTACCTGCTGGCCTGCCCTGCTGGAACTCTCTCGACTGAGCTGGAGAACGCCGCGCAGAGCACCGCCAGCGCCAGCGCCAGGAGCTTCCCGGCGACGAGGCCCGCGAGGATGATCGGCACGAGCGCGGGCAACGGCAATGCGGCCCCGCGTTGACGGTGCCACCGCTCGCCGTCGTCAGTGACGGTGGTAGCCTCCGGTGGCGCCGCTGGCGTCCCCTCGGCGGGAGCAGCATCTGCTGCTGCTGCTGGCTCGGCGTTGGACTCGCCGGCGCCCGGCTGCTCGTGCCGACAGTCCTTGCCCCGGGGCGTCATGCCGTTCCGCAACTTGTTGGCGAGTAGCTTCCGCAGCGACCTCCTGCTCTGTTTCCGCTTCGGGTTATTCACCGACGACGACGAGTCGTCGCAGCCGAGGTCGCTGCTGTCGGCGTCGGCGGACCAGAGCGAGGCGGCGTCGCTGCCTCCGTTGTCAGACTCGCACTCGCACGGCCTCGGCGACTCCGCCGCCTCCCGTATCGGCGAGACGCATCCGCGCCCGCGGCGCGAATCCACCTCTTTCTTCGTCTCCGGCCGCCGAGCACGCATGGTCCTGGCGGACTCGATCCAGGACAGCGCCACCGACGCGAGCGTGGCCGCGGCCACCAGCTGCTTGCTCCAGATCACCAGCAGCGCCAGCGCCACGGCGCCGCCGGCCGCGAGGAGCCCCGGCCGGATGCTGAAGCCCGCGCCTTTATTGCCGGGGCCGGTCGGCACCGGTGCTCCTGCCGCTGCCGCTGCCGATGCCGCCTCCGCCGCCGCGGCGTCGTGATCCACCGAAAGCTCGGGCCTTTGCTGGGTCTCCGCGGCAGCGGCGGCCGGCGGGACGGCGGCGCCGGTGGCGCGGTGCCGCCTCCTGGGGTTCCTGAGGCGGCCGTGGTTCTTGACGACGATATCAGCGAGGGAGGTCGGGAAGCCGGTCTGGACCGGGAGCGGCCCCGCGCGCGCGGGCGGGCGCAGGGACGCCAGGAGCCGGCCCAGGCGGCCGCCGCCGCCGGACGGGCGCTTCAGCGGGCTCGTTGGCATCGCCGGCGCCAGCCGTCGCCGGCGAACATCTATAGGAGGCGTGGCGTGACGCGGCGAGGCTTTGCGCGTCCGCGTTTCTGGTGGAACAGAAGAAGGAAAGCGGCGAGGAAATTGAGGTGGTGGATTTGGAGGTTTCGGTTTGCTGTTTGCATCGGGTGTCCTGTTTTAAG